TATCAGATTTGTTTTAGAAGATTTTATGTAAAAGATACAGCAAGTTTTTTAAAAAGTGTTCCGAAATAGGTTCGCTTACCCTAGATTTCGTGGCGTGTGCAACAATACGTTATTAGTATATTAAACCGTAATTTTAACAACATTTTGTAATCAAGAGAGCGCGGAATGGTGTCGAGCGGCTATCCGTTTTATCAGGATTCCGGCGTGAAGATATAAAAATATAGCGGTTGCATTTGTCCCCGGTGCTCGTTTCTCAGGGACCTTATTACATGGAAATATTACGTCGGGTCTCACGAGCGGGGGCGAGATAACGATTCGCGAGGAGCGATGTGGTACGCTTTTTCCTCGGTATTAGACAGCCGAGGTGGGAGCACTTCATTTCAATGTTCCTCGTATTATTAACGGTCTTTTGTCGGCTTCGGAGGTCCGCTCGACAAAATCGCCGACGAAGCGACGAGAGCGGCATTTATCGTCGCCGTGCGAGCCGACACGATTCGCATCTCGCGTCTCCATAATGAAAAATTGTCGCGCGAACAAGATCAGTCTTCATTAACGCGCCCGATGTCACGGGTGCGATTCGTGACCGGCGTTACGATACTTACATGTCGGCGCCGATATAGTGTACGAAACACACAAATCCGCGTAGAGTAAAACGAATTGAAATTCGCTTGTTAACGCACCGTCACGCCTCTGTCGTCGCGAAAAATCTCGCAACGACGATCGGTCAATCGTGAATCGAGTCGTCGAATTAAAATTTCGAACCAATGTCGACCGCGCGACGCGTCAATAACGACGTCACTTACCGTGTCACCTATTTCAATTACAAATTTTATTCAATATTTATCCGCCAACTTTTCACCACGTTGTTAAATGTAAAACGGTCTCCGGACGCTTGTTTCGCCAAACTCACATAAAACTTGGGAAATGGCCCGTTAAACTGGTCAATTATGCGCGTTGTTTATCTTGCACGAGTTTTACGGAACTGACTTTGTAACGAAGCATATTTTTTGAGTTTATAGTAAAGGCCCAATTAAGTCCATTTGCGAAACGTTAGTGATAGATGAAATTTTAGGAAAAAAAAACCGAGAAGCATCGTGTCGATGCACTTTTCTTTTTCACGAGAAAATTATGTATATTTTTATGCGAAAAAACTATGACTTTAAAATAATCTTATTGTCATTTTTTCACGCACGATGTAAAAATGAGAAATATGTAATTTTATTCCTTCTACATTGAAAATCAGTGGAAAATGAAATTCAATTAGAAAATGGAATTATTATTCTTAATGCTCGAGATAAATGTTCTCTTTGCTGAGGCTCGCTTTTGGATACGTGAAGCTATGCAGCTTCGCAGATGACTGATTCAATTGTGATGTCATTCATTGGTATACGGGCAGTATCGCACGAATAGAGTATTCCAATGTTAATTGAGGTTCATCGCGTGGTTAAGCGAATGCGCTCTGAAATCGTGCATTAAACGTGGTCGCTGGAGAAAATACGATCTCGGGGACGGAGAGGAATTGACACGGCGCTTTAAAGAACCTGGATTTGAAAGGCAAATTTAATAGCTCGAGAGCTAATGAATAAAAGCGATTGAATGATAAACTTAGATCTCGAGTCGGTCGCGGCGACCGCGATACAACTTGAAAGGCGGATTAAAGAATCAGTGAAGCATAAAAACGACCGCGGGAGAAAAGAATGGAAATTGTTGAAACGAATTCGACATTCCTATTCTCGGAGCAGTACACTCGGAAATGTATTTTTCAAATGTCGGGATTGTGTGTGTGTGTGTATCGGCGAGTGAATCCTAAAATGTAAGACTAATTGCATGAAGCGCAAGGGTTTCTTCGTTAAATTGAACGAAGCAAAGAGGAGTTTTCACGTGCCGTGAAATATTTTTCGTGGCAAAAATCTATTGGCGAGCTTATCGACTGACATGTACGAGATTGACGTGTATATTTTCGCACGCAATGCCACTTTTGAGCATTGATATCAGAGAAGTGCGCGATATAAATAATACGCCCTCTTGTATTACACGCATCGAAAAATTGCAATTTCGAGCTTCGCGTTTGCATTCGGATCTGCATTGCTGCATGTCAGCGAGTCGATTGGCCCGCGAATAAGTTGGAAATGGTTCGCATCGACAAATACTCACTCGGATCCTTGACGGCCGTGATGACGAGGCGGAAGCCATTCGAGTTGGTGCCCCAGGCGTCGGTGACGTATTTCAACGTCACGAAGTTTGTGCGCGTGTAAATCGCGCCCACGGTCTGCTTCGTGTTTCTGCAGGATAGGTCCGCCTGGAAACAAAAGAAAATTGCGTTCGTCGAGTACGTGCCACTTGAAGGGACAGGGGGAGGGGAGAGGCAAGGGTTTTTTTGCAGACGCTCGTGCTAACGATGCAAATGTCGCGAGCGTGATATCGAACGAACATGGGGCGGACGACGTGCGCTTGATTTACGCGCGGATAGTTTTATATCGCAATGGACTAAAAGTCCCAATCGATTCTGTTCGTGGAACGTCACGGGCTATGTGATTTATGTTGCTGCACATCTGCGAGGGAAAAGTAAATTTGACGTGAAAACTTTGCGTACTTGAAATCTTGAACATTATTGATATTTTAATCCTTGATTCGCAGAGTACTTTCGTCTCTACCTTCGCGTGTCCGTTTTTCTCTCCGATAAATCCTTTTATCGCTACGTTCAACATTTTTATTCGCGGCTGGTTGTTATTTGCTACTGAATGTTATTGGGAAAAAGAGAGCCTTCTTAAATTTCTTAGCTTTAGAGGCACGGGGGAAAAATGAGGAATGTGGGCTCATATTGCCCGTAATATCACTCGTATTACCGAGAATAATAAAAATGTTCTCTTTTACATGTCATTAACCGTTCCCTCGCACTTTATGAATCGGGTCGCAATGAGAAAGGGGAGCGTAATTTCATCGTGGCGCAAGTCAGAATGGCAGCTTATAAAAGACCGCGTAAACGTCAAATAACGTTGTTTCCCGAGATGGCGGGCACTTTTAATAAAGCGGCTATCCGCACACGGTGCGCGAATCTCTGCCCTTTTCTTCTTCTTTTTTTTTAGAAGTTTATACCGGGGCATTTGTAAGCTGGCTTAAAGCGCAGCTTGACGCAAAACAAAAATAACGTATCCGAGTAGATAATCCTGAAATACGAGCCGTAGATATCAATTCAAGCAGCAGCAACGAGACCGTGGTCGGCGAGCAAGAAATTTATTCGTAGATTTGCAACGCGGTATCTCGCTCGTTTGCCTCGAGACACGAGCAACGTAACACTTGTTGCACCCCCACGACGGACGCGAAAGAAACCGGAAATAAACGGCTGCACGAAGATGAAAAAAAAATGTGGTCGATCGCGCGTATCGATTATTTTATGCAGCGCCAATTTTTTCTAAATGTCTTTCGTTGCGCGAAGGTGTCGCAGCTTCGGCTGCCATTTGTGCATAATGCACGGAAGTGTCGCCGCAGTGATTTCGACGAAATTGGCTTCATCACATGACATTCATCTGTCATAACGCGAACAATTCTTACGGGTCATTTTTTTTTTAGCAGTTTATCTTTTTATTGACCGTGTTGGCGGTGTATCGTGAAAAGTCAAGTACGCTCAGGAAAATAACAGAGTTACAGCGGTAACTAAATGCAAACGTTGTTGCTTTATTGAGAAAGCAATTTGCAAGCCTCGTTGTATTTTCCAATGCTCGTACATTTTATTTAGAAATCAAATATCTGCGCGGCGAGTAAGTTTTATTCGTTAACAAGCATCGCGATCGCGTAAAACGTGCAATTTATCGCGCCGTCCTTATCTGCTATCGCGAAAATCGTAATTTCGTGCCGTGGAAAATTCAGGGAGGAAGAGAAAGGAGTTTCACGATGATAACAGTTTAAATTACATTCCGCACATGCACTTCCGCATAAACAACTTTTATTGAGATTTTAACTTTGTTGCGCTGTGCGCGACGAACGGATGAGCGTTAGTCATACTACTGCATTTCTGGCTCGAGCGGACCGTAAATGCATCCTTTCCTGTCCTTTTTTCCCCTTTGATCACCGGCTTCGTTATCGCAAAATATTATTGAATCTGCCCGCAAGCTGTTTAATAACTGTCTTCTTCCCGGCCCAATTAGCGCGAACAAGAGATTGAATTTTGTCGGAGATAATCCGCATTTAATTATCCGTTCTCGCTCCAATCATTAGTTCCCACCCTTCCACCCTTCTCTCCACCGTTTTCTATGCTTCATCTTTTTTCCCATCTCCCATATGGCAAAAACAACAGCGAAATCTCTGCGTATCAGATGAACGGAAATGATCAGCACGCTGGATGAAACTCCGCGCGCTCGCATTAAAAATGCAAGTATGATTTGTACGGCATTTTCAAGATACGAACTTTCCGTCCTCGCTTAGCTTTACTTGCGATTCTTATTAAAATAAATTCTTATTAATATATATTAACATTGGAAAGCACTGTAATTTTTGTACGAAATCTATGAGATAGAAAAAAATTGAGAAATATATTTTATTCGCGCGTTTTGAAATTTATATAGCGAGTTAAAAAATTCACGATTTACTTTAATAGAAAATAATTTTCTATAATCAACATATCGTGATTGCAAATTTCATTGTTTCAGAGCCGAGACGGATGAAACCGACTGGACAAGGATCGCTATTTCAGTGAGTTATATTGTATAATATTGAAAATATCGCGTCGGTGCAATGAGAAAATCATAAAATTGCAAAATTAAATTTTCTACAATTCTTTAATTGTATTTGCTGCTCAAGTCATATGTCAAAATTACAAAGTCAGCCTTTAATTTTTGACCTAAATAAATTCTTTAGTTGCGGATTTTTTTAAGCCACGATTTTGGCATATTATCGATATTGCAAACATTTTGATATCATTTTTATAATATGTGATAACAGTATGATTTTCTCATACACTCGTACAAACGAATTAATGTATAGTTTACGTCGTGAATGCATAAATACGGTAGGCTTATTTATTTATAATTTAATTCGCACTAATTATAACAATGCATTTTTCTCGCGATATACAAAGTAATTTAAGATAAGCCGATCGTTAAATATTATTCGTCGTTAAGCTATGAAGGGCAGCGTGCTTGTGCAATGTATTAGGAGATAACACGAAATGGGGGGGAAAAAGAAATAAAGGTAAAATAACGCTCTCGAAAAATAAAAAGGTAACTGCTCGAGAAACTAGGTCGGGAATAAAGTTACGGAATAAAGTCTACAGTTATACAGGGACACAAACTTTGCCGCTAATAATTGTAAAGAGAATTGATAAAGTCAAGAGACAATAGCGTCAATTTACGACATAGATTTCATTTCACCGCTGCCAGTTACGAACGATGAATTATTATTTCTCTTGTATTTTACACTTGGATACTTGTGCATTTTGATACATTGAAATATTTTACAACCGTGCGCATGTTCGAGAACGTTTTCGAGAACGTGACGAATATACACCAAATTCATTTTACTCGCCAAATTGTTATTATCATTAGCCACACACTCTGCAATTATTCAACCTATTAAATCCCATCGATCAAACCGTTTATTTTTATTAAAATAACGCAACTGCAGTTTTGCATTTGAATGATATGCTAATACATTACATCGATTGTATAGGGAGCGGCTTTCTGATTAACAAAAATAACTTACCGAACAAACTGCTCGAGTATTCCAATGTTGTCTCGCGACGTACTGACTCGCATTACTATGCATCGCGAATAATTTCACAGATCGAGCTGCGTTTTCTCCAAGAAAGGCTCCCCCGTTGTTTTCGCGATAAACGCGCGAGAAATTACGTTGATGTCATTGCGGACACAGAATTTGCAATAATCCGCGTTGTCCCAAGCTCGATATTTATCGCGGCGCAACACGTCGACGGTCGGCGATGAATTTTATCGGCGAAAAACTTTTCACGCCCGACCGTAAACAATTACGACAATCAAACGCCACAGTCGAATTTAATTGCCAGTATCTCTCCGCTGGAGGTCAGTCTAATTTGCGATCGCATTATTATCGGCAATACAGCAGGCAGCACGGTGATTCACTCTCGGACTGATCTATAGGGTCTATTTGCGCGCGGCAAATTGTGTACTCTGTCTGGTATTAGGATTGCGTCCGTACGCGAACGGCGGTTTAATAACGTGCTCGCCGATCGACCGCATGTCAACCGGACGGGCACTTGTCAATTCCGACGACGAGAGTCATCGATCATGCACGAAACGTAGGGTTAAGTAATCTGCATCGTCAAGCAGACAGCCAAGCTGTAGAGACGTAAGCCAGCAGCGGGAAGGACTGCTCTTGTAGCTGCATAGAGCCGCTGGTATACCCTTTGATATGCCGTTGACGTACACTCAGGGCAAGTGAGCTGGCACGGTCATATATAGATCTGTTGAGTCAAGTACCAAATTCTAGATATCAATTCTTAAACCCCCACGTTCCTCCCCTCGTTTGAATAATGCGTTAAACATTTTACGTCGGGCATTTATGGTCAAACAGTATTGATCTATCCAAGATAATCTTATCCCTTTACGCTCTCCTTAGCAGATTTATTCCGACTATAGAGTCCAGTGCTGAAATTATTATCGTTATCAGGGAGGTAAAAATACGAGAAACCGCAGAAAGGGCCTCTCTTTGTGCGGACTCGCGTGCCGCACAAAAGTCAGGGATTTGAAGTAGGTTGGACAGAGGAAATAAGGGGAGAGGTCCGAGGACGAGTTCAAAGATCGTGCGAGATTAGATACATCTTCGGGGAAAACGTCGGCTGAATGGCAATGCCGCGATGCAAAGGCGAGATGGAGGGCCACCTCCGCAAGAGGACCACCTAATCTACATTTACATGACTTTCAACGTATCACGCGAGAATGGAACGGATCCCCCAACGAAGCCTCGAAGGTGCAATTTCTCTTTCGTCGACGAGAAAGTCGACGAAAGAAGGCCTCGAGCGAGCTTACGACAATGCCGTTCTAAGTTGATTCCAAAGAGGTTCGGAAGTGGGGGATGGGGGGGGGAGGGGGGTTGCCGAGTGCCGGCGGAGAGACCATTGTCGTGCGTGCAAACAACGAGATCCTTCGAGGATATGTAGCTCGGTCTGAAATCTCGACCTGGAAAACAGCCCCGAGCTGTAAAACTATTCGCCGCCGCCGTTCGTATATAAAAAATACGAAGCCCTGTATTAAGCGACGTGACAGAAAATATTTGGGGAAAAGATTTATCGCGCATCGGGGCTGGTTTGAGGGAGAGATCCGTAAACTT